GCCTGGTGAACCCAAACCTGTTCAAGCCCCATTGATCCGGACTGGAGAAAGGCGTTCAGTTTCATTAGTAATAATCATTAACAAAAATTGATGATTAAATTTTTTTAAACCACTTTTATGATCATTTGTGGCCCTATTGGACATCTGGCAATGCATTTACTGCAAAAAAGCCGATTTTATTATCGCAAATTATTCCGCCACGACTGGGTTCAAACCCGGGGTCGTACGATTGCCAAACCTAATCACTAGACTACCGCAAATCAAATATTATCCCTTCACTATTGTAGGGGTGAATTTGTCCAGCACCCGTCTCCCTCCCTCTTCCACTATCTTCTTCCCTCCTTTTCCATTTCTAAACGGGTCCATTTCTGACCCGACTTCAGTTGGCCTGAACGGAATTTCCATATGGGATAAATGGCGCCGAAGGCGAGGTCTTTGCATTTCTTTACAAAAATTGCACCCATGTGCATTACATTTTTTATAAGCCTTGCTTAAATAAATTGCTTGCGATAAATTCCATTTATTGCACGGCGTGACAGAATAATTAAGCGAACAGCTAAAACAACGATAAAAGTCCTCTACATCTTTCAGGTGATTCCCTTTACTGATCAATGATCAGTATGTGGAAAATTTAGTTCATTAAAACTTTTCCATGCTTTCTGATAACTAACTGCAGACTACCCTTAGGACTCTCAATTTTTTTTATTGCTTCCGAATGGAAGCTTTGTAATTGTTCAAAATTAAGTTCCCAAATTTTTATGTGAAGGTAACTAAATATGGTCTAAAAAGTCTAAATATGCGTTTTTTAGATGATGTATGTATGTATGTATGTATATGTGTGTACTTTTTTTCAAATTTTTTTTCGCAATTTTCTTTATAGGAGCTTGATGAAATGTCATGAATTATTCCAGGGATATAGACGTTAATAGGCTCTATTCATCGACGTCAATTAAAGTTGAGTTATTCATAGAGTTTGTGAAATATTGGTATTTTTTCAAAAATGGATTTCTCGACGCTCCGTCCAAGAATTGCTATCAGAATAAAATAAATCATAGCTCAAAAAATTTGTATTGATAGCCTCTTGATTCTATCAGGATATGATGCGGATTGTATCTATCACTGTTGAGCTACAGCATATAGTTTGTGAGTTTTTATTTTTTTCATTTTTTTCATGATAAACTGCAAAAATTCATAGTCATATCAATGAAATCATGGCTCAAAAAGATTGTTTTGATGCTTTCTCGATGAAGTGCAAAGACGATAAAAACAGCATAACTATTTATTAAGTTGCATAGTAGCGATATGAAGCTTCAGGTCATATGGAGTTCATATGGGGTCATATATGGGTTATGTGGGGTCATATAAAAGTTGTACGATGTCATATGGGGGTTATATGAGATCATGAAGAAGTTGTCTAACGTCATATGGTGTCATAATGGGCTCATATGGAATGATACAGGGTCATATGGGGTCAGGGGCGGCGGAACAGTGATTTAGCATGTGTGGTTTTCAAGTATGAGCGGTAGGGGAAATGGTGGGAGGAGGAAGGGGGGGGGATCGAGGTAGCTCATAAGGGATGAAAATTAGGGATCCAATACTAATCAGATGGGGGAAAGGCAAATAAAATTCATTTTATGGCGAGAATATCAATACATTTTTATTTAGCATCAAGTAACAATTCATATAAATAAGCTTAATATGATGTATCGGTAACAAGCATTGACTAAAATTGATGAATGCTCATTTGCACTTTGCTGTTGTGGCAAATGTAGAGCTACGTTTATTATATTTACGAATGAATTCGTCCATAGCATCTTCGAGATCCAAGTCTTCTGTTAATTCGCGATGAACGTATAAAATCGCAATACTTTGACGTTTTTCCTGTAATATAGTGGATCTTTGATAGTCTTCCAGACGTCTCAAGGCCGAGAAACTTCGTTCGTTCGTGCATGTGGTGCCCGCCAGAGTCAACAATAATTTGATGATTTTGACAAATTCGGGCACGAGGCCGATGCACCACTGATTCATTTGTAAAAATGTTACGACATCTTTCAAATATGTAAAATTGACTCCCTTACGGACTGCCAGACATGTACCGGTCACCAAGCAGTTTGTTTATTGAAGTCATCGTCGCAAAAAGCAATAATTTCGTCAACATTGGCTTCCTTCCCCACTGCAAATAACTCCAATTCATTCAGAAATAACGCTGTATCTGTGTGAAATCTCTCTTTCAGGAAAATCAGGACTGTGTCGAAGATTTCGTAATAAGCTTTACGATAATAATCTTCCGGTGTCTGAAAAGTATGAGATGCGCTTAGATTGTCATTTTCCAGGCGCTTAGGAACTTTTCGAACGCGTTGAAGTTTTGGTCCATCGATTTCCAGAATTTTTGCTCCTTCAATTGCTTTCCCCCAAATAATCTTGAATTTAGAGTCTCGCACTCCACTTAAAAAATCGAATACAGCTTCCACCTTTTGGTGTGATTCCAGGACACACAGTTGACAGTTTTGAAGTTCCTTATTCAATGTTTCAATTCTATCGAATAATTCGATAATCAGATTGAGTAGGGAGGAAAACTTGAAGGATTCGAAGTGTCGCAGGAACCCAGTAGCTCTTGCTGAAATACCACTATCGACTTCACGATAATTCTGTTGGTATTCGAAAAACTGCAGAGCAGCCGTGTAGTTGGTTTGATTCGATAGTTTTTTTAAAGAGCTAATGCGCATACACCATCTGTAAAAGTGGAAGTTTGTTAGGTGATATTGAATGCATATCAATTAGGAAAATAATAAATTCAATCATTCTCTCACCCCGTTGGACAAAAGGCAGCCAAGGCTGGACCATCGTTACCGGTTCCGGTGGACACTGTTGCTTAGAACTCATGGAACTGCCCCAAACGTTTGGGCGAATCTCTTACGAAATTTATAAGATCTTTGATGATTCCAATAAAATTTTTTGCTGCAGGGACACCTTCGAGTACATCTTGTGCAACAAGACTTACTCTATGGGCATCGCAGTGGTTGTATAAGGCACGTTTCTGCTCTTGTCGAAATCGAGCTTGAAGACCGGAAATTCTTCCGGAAACATTAGACGCTCCATCATAGCACTGTCCTCGCAAATTTTCCATTCGGTGTCCACATGTTTCGACAACATCTTTTACTATTTCGAATAACATCTCGGATTTTGTGTCTGATGATTCATAAAAACCAAGGAGGATTTCTCTCGTAGATAAGTCGTCGAATGCAATGCGAATGGAGATTGAAATTTGTTCTAGCCGTGACATATCGGAGGTCTCGTCCAATGTTAAAGCAAAAAAATGTGCAGCTTTGATCATTTTTAAATTCTTCTCCTGTACTCTTGCGGCCAGTGAATTTAAAATTTCGTTTTGACAATTGTGATGCTTCCATTTGTGTCCCGATCGATTCAGCCAATCTTTTAGCTCCACAACATTATGTGAGCGTGCTGTCAAAATCTGACGAAAATTGGATCTCTCATCGTTATTTCTCCCCCTCAATGCTAACCCCTGCATAGTCAATACTTGTACGGTAATGAAAATCTTCCTTAGAGCTATACGATTATTTACCATCTCTTTGTGCTTAGCTGTCGATATCTTTTCAGCAACTGTGGATCCCTGAGAAGTCAATACCAGCTCATAACAAACCTTATGTAATTGACTTTTCTCATGACTGGGCAAACCTCGATAGGCATTTGTCCAACAAGAAAATCCTGCATTGACGAATGCATCTCGAGATTTTTTATCATTTCTGTTAGTTGGAATTGGCAACTTCCTCTCCACTGCTTGTGTACAAATGGAAAAGAATCCTCTATTCGCTCCATTCACACGTCACCAGCTGTAATTGTCTGTCCATCGTTTCAGTGATTGAGCATAAGGAGGCTTTACTTTGTTAGAATCTACAAACAATAAATAAAAGGATCAGGAGTCATCAAAATTGGCAAATGAATTTCAGATATTTTAAAGCTCAGTGAACAGTCTGATTTTCGGAAGAGGAATAATATTACCGGCCTCACTGTCAACAACACCACTCAATTTCGTTGGATTATACGAAACACCCGTGTTATTACAGGTTAGATTATCGTGGACCTGAGGACTGAAAACATCTGAGTCTTCTGCCGAATCTTCTGTCTCTGATCTTTTTCGTTTCCCTCTCTTTATGGAATTCTCCATAATTCTATTGTTCATGACTACTACAACTAAATAGTCTTTCACAAATTCGTTTTTTATTCTCCACCACACATAAACACGCAACCGGTCTGGGGATCAGCTGTCAAGTGAGCGGTGGGGAGGACTGAGAATGGGTCCTCGAGTGGGAGGGTATGGGCGCCAAAATTCGAAAAGATTGTTTGCTCGTTGCTTCTCACTGAAGGAAAAGAAATCATGCACATGATGGAAATCAGACAAATCATAATTGTGCAGGAAGAAACCAATCAGAAATATGAAAATAAAATTTCTTCGTCACCTCTCAATGTGTGGTCGTCCACACACCTCAAAATCTCATGTGTGGTTTCTACAACACCCACCACACACCTTTCGCCGCTCCTGTATGGGGTCATATGGTAATCGCATGGGGTTATACGGGAGTCATGTGGAGATCATATGTGGCAATATGAGGATCACATAGGCTCATATGGGGTTATATGAAGTGATATGGCTTCATATGAGTTTCATATAGGGGCTGTATTAGGTCATATAGGGGTTCTATGGGCTCATGAAAGGGTAATATAGGGATCATAAGAGAGTCATATGGGTATCACTATTCAAAACAATTAAAAATAAGAGTAATAAATTTCAAAAATAGAGAATCCACTCGGAAGCATATTGCTAATTTGTTAGCAATATAAACCATACCCATATACAGAAAATGCGATTATCTACTTGTTTTCGAAATCCTACGGGTTTTATCCCTCCATTGATAGATATTCAATGTCAATTTTGAGAGATTGATAAAGGGATAATGAATGATTGCGTCTTTCTTTTATAGGGTGGCTCTTGTGAATCTCTGTCATTGAAGGACAGTGCGTTAACCGGTAGTGATTCATGTGTCCTCGAGTTGAGCGACAGTGGAGGAAGCGGTCCTCCAGGTGAATGGGACGCTGTGCCTAGTATTGTTCGCCAATGTATTAAACACCTGAAAGCCACAGGACTGAGAACTTTGGGTATTTTTCGGGTGTCGCCGTCGAAAAAGAGGGTTAGACAGGTAAGTATCGTATTCTATCATATGTTAAATTAATGTTATTAATTAGAAATTCAACTGAATTATTCGATTCCATGTAGTAGATAAATCAATTTGAAATTTTAAACTTCTATCAAATACTAAATTGCATATTAATTTCAATTCACAGTGATGAATGGTTTCTAACTCAAATGGAAAAATTTAGTGACTTTGTATAAAATAACTAATTGATAAAAGTCTAATGAATATTAAATTCTTACATAATACATCAATCTTACATTGCAATGAACACGAACATTTTTTCTTCATTTCATTTTAATGAGTTCATCTTATCAGCGGGAAAGAACCAATGGGATGGCCTGTTTTCTAGACTGTATGCATGACTTCTCTTTTTATGCTGCGATTCAATATTTACTTTTGGAAATTACTGAATGACATAAATATAGCGCAAAATCACGTATTTTGTTAGCTGTACTATTTCCGGTCTCGTTCACTTGTTCATATTGATTTCATTTTCATTTTAGTTGAGGGAAGTTTTCGATTGTGGAAGAGAAATGAAGATTAGCGTTGATCAATGTCCCCACGATGTAGCTACACTGTTGAAAGAGTATTTCCGAGATCTACCAGATCCTTTGCTCTGCAGAGACCTATATCAGGCCTTTGTTCACACGCAGAGTAAGCAGAAGGCTATAATAATGCACATGTAGAAAAACCATAGTTAACCGTATGCCTAAATGATAATTAACGTTGGATATCTTTCTAATTATTAGAAATTCGAAATAGACGTCTGCAGCAGGAAGCTCTGCAACATCTGATTCAACTTCTTCCAATCGCCAACCGCGAGACACTCTTTGCCCTGCTGAATTTTTTAACGGAAGTTGCTGCAAATTGTGAAGATAACAAAACGGAGACTGGCGATTGGGTGTCTGGAAATAAAATGGATATAACGAATCTTGCTACGGTAATATTGAAAAATTAATTGATCCTAGTTTGATCATCATATCAGGGAATCGCTTTTTTTCTTTCTTCTTGCCATTCATTAGTTGAGCGGGACAATTCGGAAATATTCAAATTTGACAACAAATTATTTCTAAGAGCGGAACGATTTTTTCCCATGTTAAATAAAATCGCCTATTGTGCGCCGTAGACAGAAACTACTTAATTGCATCCGGTACGCGCTGAAAGAATTGATCAAACACATTCGAGGACATATGACTAATGGTAAATTTTCTCGAAGTGTCCTCCATCAGAATTTTTACAATAGTCAAGGCGTTTCTGAAAACTATGGAAAACTTCTTCAATTTTAGCTTGAGAAATATAAGAAACACCCTTCTGGATAGCGCTTATCAGAGCCTCTTTTGTCTGAGGTTTGTCCGCGTAACAGAAGTCTTTGAGATAACCCCACAAGAAGAAATCACACGGGTTCAAATCCGGTGAGTATGGTGGCTGTTCCATTCCCGCTCGGGCGAAGCGAGGATACCCTAAGCCGATGATGCGATCACCGTATACTTAGTGCAATGCAGCAAACACATCATTAGTTCGATGAGGTGTTGCACCGTCTTGCACAAAAAAAGAAATCTTTCACCAATCCTTTTTTCTTAGTGAATGGGAAAAATTTGCTTTCCAACATCTCTTGGTAACTCTTCCCTGTAATGGTCCCTTCCAAAATTTCCACATGTATTTGTTTGATCGACGGACCTGCCCAAGCTGTAACTTTAGTAGGGTGGAGCAGTTTTGCTACTGATGAATGTGGATTTTCACTCCCCCCAAATCGATAATTTGTTTATTCACGTAGCCATTAAGGTAGAAATGAGCTTCATCCGTGAAAATCATTCGATTGGCTTCGATTTCAGCATTTTCAAACATTTGCGTCGAAACTTTGCTGAATTCACGTCGTTTCCCTATAGCAGCTTGCGTAAGCCATTGGTGGGAAGTGATTTTATAAGGACGAAGTTTGAAGAAATGTTGAATTATCAAATGTAGGGTCTCTTGGTTCAATTCTAACTTGGCAGCCGCTTTGTGTATTGAATCGGTTGGATGATTTTTGAAAATAAATATAAGATGGACCCGGGAAATCATGGTGACCATGCTGTAGTGTACCATAGTTGACAAAATTATCAATTACCCTACAAAAAAGGACACAAGGACTCAAAAAATTTATTGGGAACTGACGTAAAAAAGAATCGTACAGGAGAACTAATAAATTCCTACCGTTTGAGTGTGGTTTCACTTCCAATTCTGTGACTACCAAACTTACTACGAAAGCCTCTATACGCATTTGTGTAATTTTTTCCTCGGGAATAATAGCACTCAATGAGATACACTTTTTCTTCGACAGCAAGCTCATTTTGGAGAATATGAACTAGACTCCGGAGTGTTCCAACAGAATTTGCCAGGCTCCAAGTGTTAACCTACGATAGCCCGATCTCTGGTGACAAATTGGACAAGGAAATATAGGGGAAAAGTTTTCACCTATGTCCATTTGTCACCCTCTATAACGAGAAAATACTGTAGAGTGAATTGGACAATGCTGGAGCCTGAATAACGGTAAACCTATGAGTTTGGTGACCACACTACACGGAGAAAAAATTCTAATAAAAATTAGTTTGCTACTGACTGACCCACGGAACCGGACCGGAATCACCAAAAAATTCGAATTCGGCCCCCGAGTTTTGAAAGGGTTTCAGGAAAACCCGTGTTTGATCCCGCGACGTGTAGGGAGCAATAATTTGTGGAGAGATTTCACATAGTACACCACTATATGGACGGACTCGCGCGAGTTTCTGTTTATTTTTCTCTCCGTGTTGGGTTAAATTATATTGTACTGTTGAAGGAGCGACCATGGTGAAACTTGAAAGTTTTCAGTTGATAAGAATAGTTATCAAGCGCCTCTTACTAGACCATTGAGTATCTATAAGAGTAACAAAATATTGGACATAAGCTCTTTGACTCATACATGAAGGCAAAATGTGGTTTTTCCGGTTCGCAGTTATGAAATGCTCCTTGCACCACAATTTTCATCTGATTTAAACTGTATTTTTTTACGTTCGGTAGATTCACAGACTAACAAGCAGTGGTTGGAGCGTAGAAGGCTGGTGATCGAGACTTTGCGCTAGTAGTCGTCTCGTATTCTTTCTTTCTACCAATTCCATTGATAGTAAGCTTGCGATGGATCCGTAGCAATTCTCTGCCCCTGCGACAGAAATTCAATAGCAACCACATTCTACAGGGTGTCTATAGGGAGATATTCAACCTTTTAATGAAATAAATTTATACATAACATTAAATATCTCCGAAACGGCACTGCCGATTGTGCCCATTAAAATATTAGGTGTATAACTTAATTTTTCCGTTTTTTTTCATTGAGTGCGGTGTCTTACTTACAATTTAAATATTTACGCATCCGTTTGCGATATTGAAGAGTGAGAATTATTGTTTTGACGTGTACACGTCTATGGGCTCGATATGAGGGGGGATTTCGGAAAAAGTACATTATGTTCAACGCCATCTATTAGATCACCTATGAACTAAAATCCTATTGATAATAATTTACCAACTGGGTATTAGGATAAGTTATAGAATAAATCCTCTAGAAATTTCCAGTATAGAAATTTCTAGATTCAAACATCCCTATATAAAGGGCACCGATGCGATTCAGCGGCACTCTTAAATCGGCAGTGGAATCGTGAATACCGCAAGAAGTGAATAGTTGGAATATTTCAGTGAGTTTTCTTCTTCAAGTAAGTAATGTGTAGTTTTCAATGATTTCATTTAACTGCTAATTAATCTAGTATCAGCCAATTACGGAAAAATACAAAGAATTTCTAGAAAATTCGACAAAATTCAAAGAGACTTTAGAAAACTCGAGAGAATCCTAGGGTTTTCTACAAATCTTCGTGAAATTCAGGAAGTTTCTGAAAATTTCTAGGAAATTCGAGCATTTGCTAAAAATGTCTAAAAAATTCAAGGAATTTCGAGAAAATTCGAGAGAATTCAGAGACTTTCTAGAAATTATAACAGAATTCAAGGAGTTTCTAAAAATTTCGAGCTAATTCTAAAATTTCCAGAAAATTCAAGAAAATTCAAGGAGTTTCCAGAAGTTTCGAGGGTATTCAAGTAATTTCCACAAATTTCGGGGGAATTCGAGAACGTTCTAGAAATTTCGAGGAAATTCAAGTATTTTTTTTTATGTATAAAATTTAATAGATTTGGAATTTTAATGAAAGAAAGGAAGCTTCTAACAAGTAAATGAGGTAATATGTACATCAGCGTGCGTGAATGCGCGCGCCCGGTCTATTTGCAATTAATAATACAATTCACCTGACGCAAATGGTCGAGTGTGAACTAATCCATTGACTTTTACAGGTTTACAGATATTCTACAACATTCTTTCATCCTGGTCAGACACATCTGAATACGAAAGTTCCAGAATAGGCCTTTCTGGAAATAAAATACCCCTATATAAAGAAGGACTGGAGTGGCGGGAGATCAGTTGAGGATTGAATCTCAATGGTTTCACATCTCCAGAAGTTGAGGGGAACAGCGTTGATTAAGGTAGGAATAATTGCAATTAATAATACAATTCATCTATTGTAAATGACCGAGTGTGAATTAATCCATTGACTTCTACATGTTTACAGATATTCTAGAACATTCTTTCATCCTGAGAAGACCCACCTGAATTCGAAAGTTCCAGAATAGAACTTTCTGGAAATAAAATACCCCTATATAAAGGAGGACTGGAGTGACAGGAGATCAGTTGAGGATTGAATCTCAATGGGTTCACATCTCCAGAAGTTGAGGGGAACGGAGTTGATTAAGGTAAGAATAATTGCAATTAATAAGCAGTTCATCTATTGCAAATTACCGAGTGTGAATAAATACATTGATTTCTACATGATTACAGATATTCTAGAACATTCTTTTATCCTGGGAAGACACATCCGAATACGAAAGTTCTAGAATAGAACTTTCTAGAAATGAAATTCCCCATCTATAAGGATGGACAGAAGTGACTGGAGATCAGTTGAGGATTGAATCTCAATAAGTTCACATCTCCAGAAATTGATGGGAATGAAGTTGATTGACGTAAGAATAATTGCAATTGATAATACAATTTACTCAATACAAAACATTTAGTATGAATTAATCCATTAAATTCTACATGTTCATAGACATTCTAGAACATTCTTTTATTCTGGGAAGACACAACTGAATACGAGAGTTCTAAAATAGACTTTTCTGGAAATAGGATACCCCTATATAAGGGAGGGTTGAAACTAGTGAGAAGGAAGTGATAGAGGATTTCCATTCATAATGCCGAGGCGCTGCTCCATTCCAAATTGTCTCCAACGACCAAATAAGTCATTCTTCGCTATACCACGCGATAAAAATATACGAGAACAGTGGATAGCAGCAATTCTTACGGCGTATTCGGACTTAGTAATTAATGAAAAAACATTTCGTCTTTGTGAGGACCATTTCAGGAGCGCAAATATACATTCATCTTACATTATACAGTATTAATCTGGAGCAATTTTCCAATAGGTAAATTATTTTTACATAAAAGAGATACATCATTTAGGGTATATTCTGTACTTCGCATACGCGCCATACACAAAAAAGTATAACACCTCAGTAAAGTTCATCTTTCTCATAAAGTATTGTAAAGAATGGGCACATTTAATAATGAATAACTGTTTATTAAAGATTTTGGGGCGAAATAAATAATAAAAAGAAATACAAAAAGGATTGACGCGTCAGCGGACTAGAAAACAAGATAAAAGAATAACAGGAAAGAAAGAGACGATCGTACATGAAGGTAGTTGAGAGGGAGGAAAAGGGCAATTACGTAACAGTATATACAGGAGACAGATACAGAAAACACCGTGAATTATTAGGAATGCCTTAAATAGATAAATTTCCCTGAATTGCATTATTTATTTATATTTAATTATTTAC